AAATCATCAGAACAATTGAAGTCATGCGAGATTCCCCCGACGAAAATTTGAATACCCGTTCTACTGCAAGCACATTAATTCCCCTAATGTGCGATCACACATTCTTGTGTTTCTTGGAGTTATGGAACTTGATTTTGGCGCAAGTTGACTCTGTTCAAACTTATTTACAAACCAAAGGAGTTACACTTGACATGAGTTTGAAAAAAATTGGAACTTTGCTACTTTTTCTGACTGAAGAGAGAAACGACATCGTCAACAAAGCAATCAACTTTGGAGTAGAAAAGTGTCAGGAACTGGGCATCGAGATGGGAAATCAAAAAAGACGTAGAAGGAGAAAACTTTTACCGGGTGAGTCAGCAACGGACTCAAATTTGACTGAGCTTGAAGAACTTCGCAGATCAATGTTCGAGTGCTTGGATCGTTTTGTTGAGGAACTTCAAAAAAGAACCAGCGGAATGAAGAAAATTTTGGACACTTTTCAAGTGATTCAATCAAAGTTTCTTATGAATGCCCCGGACGAAGAAATATTACCAGCTGCACAGAAACTCAACCTTGTTTATGACGATTTTGACGGAGAACAAGTTTTCCTAGAGGTGAAAAGATTACGTCGTCACATTCGAGCGACTGAAACCAAAATCGAAGCAGCCACTTCTTGGACGACAAAGGAAATGCTTCAGTTTATAACTACGTGGGACTTCAATGAATCTGTGCCAAATCTTTGTCTCATTTTGCAGTATTTCCTTACGATATGTGTGTCAGTTGCTTCTTGTGAAAGAAGTTTTTCGAAATTAAAATTAATCAAAAATTACTTGAGGTCAACAATGAGCGAACAAAGGTTAAACAGTCTTGCTATTTTATCGATTGAAAAAAAAAGTGCATCAACATTGGATTTCGATGTAGTAATCGACACATTCGCTTCACTTAAAGCAAGAAAGCACAATTTAAAAATATAAATTGTTTTGTTTTTAAAACTGTCATTTTCTGTATTTTTAATAAAACTATTGTTTAATCGAATGTTCTGAATATTGAACCCTTCATAACTCATAGCTCCATTAAACGAGAAAAATTACGGGAGGGGGGGGGCCTTCAAATCATTTCCGCCCCGGGCCCCAAAAGGTCTTAGTCCGCCCCTG